CAAATCACTAAAACAAAATTATTCGCTAATAAATCTAATTCGTTAGTATTAGCCTATTCATTCTGATCCACATAAAACAATAAAAATTTGTTATCATCAATTAAAATACGCTCTCCCAAAATTAATTGGTGACACTTACAAGCAATATTTACATTTAGCCCATTTTATGCCTTTTTCATCCATTTGTTGCAACTCCTAGGACTGGCAGACCTAAAAAATTATCAACTTGTGATGAAAGACAGCAGTAAGAAAAGTCCCAAAACAACTGCCTATCAATTATCCAAACAACTTGAAGAATTAAACATTATAGCAAGTGAAAAGGCTGTCAGGCAAACTTTACACACTAAAAATACTTATGGTAGGAGGGCTGTAAAGAAGCCATTAATTTCTGAAAAAATAGGAAAAAAAGATATTTTGGTGTCATGCAAGAAAAAATTGGAATAAAATTATATTCAGTGATGAGAATAGGTTCTTACTATTTCAAAACAATTCAAATGATTGGTTTGGAGAATGGTAGGAAAAAATTTTAAAAAAAACAATCTGATGGAATTATGGTTTGGGGTTGTTTTACAAGAAGAAAAATGGGTCCATTAGTATTAGTTGAAGGTAAATTAAATGCAAGTAATTATAATAACCTTCTTGCAGCAAATTTATTACCTATTTACCTTTCAAGAAGATAATGCACCATGTCATAAAGCAGCTGCTGCAAACATATGGAAAGAAGATAATAACATTGTGGTTCTCCCCTGGTCTGCACAAAGCCCAGACCTCAATCCTATTGAAAATTTTTGGCAGGATTTAAAAAGAAGACTTGGATTAAAAAATTATAAATCAAAAATAAGATTGAATTATTTAATTTATTGAAAGAGGAGTGGTTTAATATTAGTCCAGAAAAAATTAATAAATTAATAGATAGTATGCCACAAAGGGTTGATGCTGTTTTAAAAAGTAGAGGAAACCCGACAAGATATTGATTTTTTTTTAATAAAATACAATTAATTTAAAGTAGTTTCATATATTTTTTGATGTCTTTTATGTTTCAAATTAGTGAGCAGTTTAAGGCTGAATTGTTTTGTAAATTTTTTTACGTTTTATTTTTTCCCTCGTTAATTAATCTACCAAATGCTCTAAAATTTTAGAAGTAACTAGATTTGAATATGAGAAACATTTTTTACTTATACCACAAAGGTTGTTAGAACTTGCCAATGTGGTCAATTTTTGAGTTAAAGATTTTTAAAAAAATTCTGGGATTTTCATTTTTATCTTTTAAGGTTTGTAAAACAACAATGGTTTATTTATATGCGGTGAAACTTCAGTATATTATAGTATTTGATACGAAAATTAATTTTTACTTAATAAGCAAGTGTGATTGGGATAGTAAAATTTTTAGTTTTTGTCATGTCACTTTATTCAATTATTTGTGATGATCTGCAGGTGTCCCTATACTTTTGTCCAGGTAGTGTATAATCTAATGCATCATCAATGGTTAAATGGATAAATTTCCTATTGTTGACACCATCAGCAATTTTAATATCAATGTTATCAACTTCATTTTCACCATTTTTTAAATCTTTTGTAATATTAGTAGATTTTACAATGACCCAAAGATTTTTCGACATTAATATTATAAATATTACAAAAATGTAATTCTACATAACAACAATTACTATCAATATCCTCTGCATTATTATCATCAATATTATCTTTATAGTAACAATAATGTCTATCCAATTCAATTTGCAAATCCTTGAAGATCTGCAACCCAGTTGAATCAATCATACTAACACATGTGAAATCAAATATAATATATTTTAATATTAGTGATTACTGGATTCAAATTCATAAAAATTCCATGGCTTATCCTTATTCTTTAATTTTATTATTGAACTATTATTATTATGGTTACTCTTGAATGATTTCTTGATTATTTTTAGAATTTGAGAGTAAATGTGATCTGCATTTGCATAAATTACTGAATCTGATATTCTTATTATTAACATGACATCATTGTTAATGTTGTTGGAGGTAGTATTGTTGGAATTGGTGGTAATGGTTGAGTTGTATTTGTTTTCAATATCATTATCTTTATTATTATTATTGTCTTCATGATGATGATCTTCTTTAATATATTTTCTTTTATTGCTAATGAGACATATACTGATCTTTCTTTCTTACCACCACCACCACAACTGTTGCTGCTGTCATTACAGCAGTTATCACACTCAGAATCTTTGGAGATGATCAAAATTTTACCAAGTACTTCACATTTAGTTCTTGATAATTTAATCACAAAAATCAATAATGAAAGTCCTGTTGAAACATATATCCCTGTCTATTATTTTTTTTTTTTAAAGAATGTTTTTGGAAGAGGGGAAGATTAATAATAAAATAATAAATCATGTTTTAAAAAAAAGTTAATATATTTTTAGATATATGTGTTACCTCAACAGTTAGTACCAATGTAATGATTAATCCAACAATAAAAACCAAAAAATCCCAAACTACAATCAAAAATAAACAAAGGTTTATTTTAAAAGATATGAAGAAAAAAATTATACTAATTAGAAGGAAATACCTCTCTATTTTATATAATTATGTTGTGCATGAAATAAATATACAAGATAGGAGGGTTTTGTAATCAGATCCAGAATAGAATGTATAATAACAGCCCTAAAAATATAATTATATAATTATTATTATATAACCACATTATATCTTCTTAATCATGTATACTTATGCTAAAGTGGCTTCAGGTATGTAATAGAAAGCAAGAGTCAATACAAAAATGGCCAATATCACCAGAATTCCTGAAAATATTCCAGAAAGTGGAGTATGTACACCAGATTTTGATTTTATAGCTATGCATACAAATAAGCCAGTTTTTGGATACATGCCAAAAAATGAACCTATTATATTTGTCATACCAATTGCAATCAATTCTTAACTTGGATTAACTAAACAAATGAACAAATATTATCTGTGTGTAAATATTTTACAAATATACAAATATTCTCTCTTATTCATAAAATATTATTACCTTTGCAATCATTTAACCCTCCAAAACTAGAATAATTACAACCCCAGGTAAATAAACGCTTGTGTATCTTAACAATTCCAGATCAGTTAATGGTGGTGTTCTTATATAGGTGAAACCAGAAGGGATATTCTTCAGGATGGCAAATGGTGAAGGTTGTCCTTCTCCAATATTAAGATTATTGATCAGAAGAAATGAAAATAGTGTGCAAATTATTATTAGAGATATGACTCTGAAAATACTAATTAAAAAAATAATTGTTTTCTAGTTGGGTATTGTTTAGACAGAAGAGTGGTTGAATATTTGATTCTGTTGTACGTGAAAATGAAATTATGTGAATTTGCAATTCACATATGTGAAATTCAAATTTACACGAATTTAATCAGTGACAATAGTAATAATAATAATGAAATAATAATGATAATGATAACGAAATAGCAATAATAATTAAATAATAAAAAAATCAGGTTTTCACTGATCACCAAATAATTTTTCCATAACAATAAATAACATAATTTATTATTGTTTTTATTTTACATTGATTTTTTTTATGTCAAAATTGTTATTTTGCCATTTATTTTTATTCATTTATTAGTATCTATACTAGTTTCAAA